TCCAGCTACTCCCCTCCGACAAGGAGAATGAGGCGAGCGAGGAGGAAGATTTGTGGCCGATTCCTCCCACCTTGGACACTCTCTCTCTCTGTTCCAGCTACTCCCCTCCGACAAGGAGAATGAGGCGAGCGAGGAGGAAGATTTGTGGCCGATTCCTCCCACCCTGGTCACTCTCTCTCTGTTCCAGCTACTCCCCTCCGACAAGGAGAATGAGGCGAGCGAGGAGGAAGATTTGTGGCCGATTCCTCCCACCCTGGTCACTCTCTCTCTGTGTTCCAGCTACTCCCCTCCGACAAGGAGAATGAGGCGAGCGAGGAGGAAGATTTGTGGCCGATTCTTCCCACCCTGGTCACTCTCTCTCTCTGTTCCAGCTACTCCCCTCCGACAAGGAGAATGAGGCGAGCGAGGAGGAAGAATTTGTGGCCGATTCTTCCCACCCTGGTCACTCTCTCTCTGTTCCAGCTACTCCCCTCCGACAAGGAGAATGAGGCGAGCGAGGAGGAAGATTTGTGGCCGATTCCTCCCACCCTGGTCACTCTCTCTCTGTTCCAGCTACTCCCCTCCGACAAGGAGAATGAGGCGAGCGAGGAGGAAGATTTGTGGCCGATTCCTCCCACCCTGGTCACTCTCTCTCTGTGTTCCAGCTACTCCCCTCCGACAAGGAGAATGAGGCGAGCGAGGAGGAAGAATTTGTGGCCGATTCCTCCCACCCTGGTCACTCTCTCTCTGTGTTCCAGCTACTCCCCTCCGACAAGGAGAATGAGGCGAGCGAGGAGGAAGATTTGTGGCCGATTCTTCCCACCCTGGTCACTCTCTCTCTCTGTTCCAGCTACTCCCCTCCGACAAGGAGAATGAGGCGAGCGAGGAGGAAGAATTTGTGGCCGATTCCTCCCACCCTGGTCACTCTCTCTCTCTCTGTTCCAGCTACTCCCCTCCGACAAGGAGAATGAGGCGAGCGAGGAGGAAGATTTGTGGCCGATTCCTCCCACCCTGGTCACTCTCTCTCTGTGTTCCAGCTACTCCCCTCCGACAAGGAGAATGAGGCGAGCGAGGAGGAAGATTTGTGGCCGATTCCTCCCACCCTGGTCACTCTCTCTCTGTGTTCCAGCTACTCCCCTCCGACAGAAGGCTGCGGTCCATCAGGACCAAAACCTCACGCCACGAAAGACAGATTCTTCCCGTCTGCTGCTGGCCTTGTTAAACAAGGCCAAGGGCTAACACTGATATTAACTTTCGATTTAAAGCTTTCGTGACTGCAATGATTCATCTTCCTTGGTTCTTTCGGTAAAGTCACGTAGAATGAGAATAAAATAATAAATTGATCAAATATTAACATTTTATCTACGTGATGACACCTTGCCGATATTAACTATGTTAACGTATTTGTATTTTTCTTTATTTTAAAATTATATCTTAAAGCTATTTTATATTCGATATTTATTCAATTTTATATACTTCAGCCCCTTGGTGTTAGTTAGACTTTTAACCATTATTATTATAGTAGTAAGACTTGTTTAAAAACTTATTTAAGATTTTAGATTCCTATATGTTGACTGTATGCACCATCCTGCCAAAGTAAATTCCGTGTCGGTGTGAACTTTCATGGCGAATAAAACCCTTTCTGATTCTGATCATCATCATCATCAGGTGTGAAAACCACAGCGAGAATACAATAATAAAAATAATAAAAATATAAAACAATAAAATTCTCACGACGTTTCTACCTGCAACTCAAAGCGGCAGCTGGAGAAATTCAACCTGCCAAAGACAATGATGGTGGTGGTGGCGGTGCACTTCTATGCGGCGATCATTCAATCCATCCTCACCTTCCTCCATAACCGTCTGGCACGCTTCTGCCACTGCCAAGGACAGGAGCAGACTGCGGCCTTATCATCCACACCGCTGAGAAGCTGATTGCCTGCAATCAACCAACCCTCGAGGGCCTGGACACGACCGGGAGAATGAGGCGAGCGAGGAGGAAGAATTTGTGGCCGATTCTTCCCACCCTGGTCACTCTCTCTCTCTGTTCCAGCTACTCCCCTCCGACAAGGAGAATGAGGCGAGCGAGGAGGAAGAATTTGTGGCCGATTCCTCCCACCCTGGTCACTCTCTCTCTCTCTGTTCCAGCTACTCCCCTCCGACAAGGAGAATGAGGCGAGCGAGGAGGAAGATTTGTGGCCGATTCTTCCCACCCTGGTCACTCTCTCTCTCTGTGTTCCAGCTACTCCCCTCCGACAAGGAGAATGAGGCGAGCGAGGAGGAAGAATTTGTGGCCGATTCCTCCCACCCTGGTCACTCTCTCTCTGTTCCAGCTACTCCCCTCCGACAAGGAGAATGAGGCGAGCGAGGAGGAAGAATTTGTGGCCGATTCCTCCCACCCTGGTCACTTTCTCTCTGTTCCAGCTACTCCCCTCCGACAAGGAGAACGAGGCGAGGGAGGAGGAAGATTTGTGGCCGATTCCTCCCACCCTGGTCACACTCTCTCTCTGTTCCAGCTACTCCCCTCCGACAAGGAGAACGAGGCGAGCGAGGAGGAAGATTTGTGGCCGATTCCTCCCACCCTGGTCACTCTCTCTCTCTGTGTTCCAGCTACTCCCCTCCGGCAGAAGGCTGCGGTCCATCTGGACCAAAACCTCACGCCACGAAAGACAGATTCTTCCCGTCTGCTGCTGGCCTTGTTAAACAAGGCCAAGGGCTAACACTGATATTAACTTTCGATTTAAAGCTTTCGTGACTGCAATGATTCATCTTCCTTGGTTCTTTCGGTAAAGTCACGTAGAATGAGAATAAAATAATAAATTGATAAAATATTAACATTTTATCTACGCGATGACACCTTGCCGATATTAACTATGTTAACGTATTTGTATTTTTTTTAATTTTTAAATTATATCTTAAAGCTATTTTATATTCGATATTTATTCAATTTTATATACTTCAGCCCCTTGGTGTTAGTTAGACTTTTAACCCTTATGATTATAGTATAAGACTTGTTTAAAAACGTATTTAAGATTTTAGATTCCTATATGTTGAATGTATGCACCATCCTGCCAAAGTAAATTCCGTGTCGGTGTGAACTTTCATGGCGAATAAAACCCTTTCTGATTCTGATCATCATCTTCAGGTGTGAAAACCACTCACAGAGACCCACAGAGTCTCACAGAGACCCAGAGGCTCACAGAGACCCACAGAGACTCACAGAGACCCACAGAGACTCACAGAGACCCACAGAGTCTCACAGAGACTCACAGAGTCTCACAGAGCCTCACAGAGACTCACAGAGTCTCACAGAGCCTCACAGAGACTCACAGCCTCACAGAGTCTCACAGAGACCCAGAGAGACTCACAGAGTCTCACAGAGTCTCACAGAGACCCACAGAGTCTCACAGAGACCCACAGAGTCTCACAGAGTCTCACAGAGACCCATAGAGACTCACAGAGACTCACAGAGTCTCACAGAGACTCTCAGAGCCTCACAGAGACCCACAGAGTCTCACAGAGACCCAGAGAGACTCACAGAGACTCACAGAGTCTCACAGAGACTCACAGAGTCTCACAGAGACCCACAGATGTTTGGTGGTGGTGGTGATGGTAGTGGTAGTAGTGGTGATGTTTGTGATGGTGATGATGATGGTGGTGATGGTGATGGTAGTAGTGGTGATGATGATGGTGATGGTGGTGATGATGATGGTGGTGGTGGTGATGGTGGTAATGATGATGGTGGTGGTGATGGTGGTGATGGTGATCTTTGTGATGGTAGTGGTAGTAGTGGTGATGGTTGTGATGGTGATGATGGTGGTGATGATGATGATGGTGGTGATGATGATGATGGTGGTGATGGTGATGATGGTAGTGGTAGTAGTGGTGATGATGATGATGGTGATGATGATAATGGTGATGATGGTGGTGATGGTGATGGCAGTGGTAGTAGTGGTGATGATGATGGTGGTGATGGTGGTGATGATGGTGGTGATGGTAGTGGTAGTAGTGATGATGGTGATGGTAGTGGTAGTAGTGGTGGTGATGATGGTGATGATGTTTGTGATGTTTGTGATGGTGGTGGTGATGTTTGGTGATGATGATGGTGGTGATGAAGGTGGTGGTGATGGTGGTGGTGATGGTAGTGGTAGTAGTCGTGATGGTAGTGGTAGTAGTGGTGATGATGATGGTAGTGGTGATGGTGATGATGGTGACGATGGTAGTGGTGATGATGGTGATGGTGTTTGGTGGTGATGATGATGATGCTGGTGGTGATGGTGATGTTTGTGATGATGGTGATGATGGTGATGATGGTGGTGGTGATGGTGGTGATGATGGTTGTGATGATGGTGGTGATGGTGGTGATGGTGGTGGTGATGGTGGTGATGATGGTTGTGATGATGGTGGTGATGTTTGTGATGATGGTGGTGATGGTGGTGATGATGGTTGTGATGATGGTGGTGATGTTTGTGATGATGGTGATGATGTTGGTGATGGTGATGATGGTGGTGATGTTTGTGATGATGGTGGTGATGTTAGTGATGATGGTGGTGATGTTTGTGATGATGGTGGTGATGATGTTGGTGATGGTGATGATGATGGTGATGTTTGTGATGATGGTGGTGATGTTTGTGATGATGGTGGTGATGTTTGTGATGATGGTGGTGATGTTAGTGATGATGGTGGTGATGTTTGTGATGATGATGGTGATGATGGTTGTGATGATGGTTGTGATGTTTGTGATGATGGTGATGGTGGTTGTGATGTTTGTGATGTTTGGTGGCCGGGTACAGAAAGTGACGTCATTTTATATTGGGTTGACACTATGGAAAGTGACGTCACGCAACCGGTGAGACTATATAGAGTGACGTCACGCCACAGGTAACACTGGAAAGTGACGTCACTTTCTATTGGGTTGACACTATGGAAAGTGACGTCACGCAACTGGTGAGGCTATATAAAGCGACGTCACTCCGCGCGTGACACTGGAAAGTGACGTCACTTTATATTGGGTTGACACTATGGAAAGTGACGTCACGCAACTGGTGAGGCTATATAAAGTGATGTCACTCCGCGGGTGACACTGGAAAGTGACGTCACGGCACGGTTGAACCTCGATTGGAAGCAACGTCACTCACCGTATAGGAAATGACGTCGCTCACTGTATAGGAAGTGACGCCACTCACTGTATAGGAAGTGACGTCGCTTCCGTCGACCCGTCAACGTTGGGACGGTGGCGGTGACGTCACTTCCGCTATCGGCATCCTCGCTGCCTCGCGATGGCGGTGAGGAGGAGGTGAGGGGTGGTGGTGAGGTGAGGTGAGGAGGTGGTGAGGAGGTGAGGAGTGGTGAGGTGAGGGGTGGTGGTGAGGTGAGGTGAGGAGGTGAGGGGTGGTGACTGGTGGTGAGGTGAGGTGAGGAGGTGGTGAGGAGGTGGTGAGGAGGTGAGGTGAGGTGTGGTGTGGTGAGGTGAGGTGAGGGGTGGTGGTGAGGTGAGGTGAGGAGGTGAGGTGTGGTGACTGGTGGTGAGGTGTGGTGAGGAGGTGCTGAGGAGGTGAGGAGGTGAGGTGAGGTGTGGTGAGGTGAGGTGTGGTGAGGAGTGGTGAGGTGAGGTGAGGAGTGGTGAGGTGAGGTGAGGTGTGGTGTGGTGAGGAGGTGAGGTGGTGAGGAGGTGGTGAGGAGGTGAGGTGAGGTGTGGTGTGGTGAGGTGAGGTGAGGAGTGGTGAGGTGAGGTGAGGTGAGGAGGTGAGGTGAGGTGTGGTGAGGTGAGGTGTGGTGAGGAGTGGTGAGGTGAGGTGAGGAGTGGTGAGGTGAGGTGAGGTGAGGAGGTGAGGTGAGGAGGTGAGGTGAGGAGTGGTGAGGTGAGGTGTGGTGTGGTGAGGTGAGGTGAGGAGGTGTGAGGTGAGGAGGTGAGGTGAGGAGTGGTGAGGTGAGGTGAGGTGTGGTGAGGAGTGGTGAGGAGGTGAGGTGGTGAGGTGAGGTGTGGTGAGGTGTGGTGAGGTGTGGTGAGGTGTGGTGAGGAGTGGTGAGGTGAGGAGTGGTGAGGTGAGGAGGTGAGGAGGTGGTGAGGAGGTGGTGAGGAGGTGAGGTGTGGTGTGGTGAGGTGAGGAGGTGAGGAGGTGAGGTGTGGTGTGGTGAGGTGAGGAGGTGTGGTGAGGAGGTGCTGAGGTGCTGAGGAGGTGAGGAGGTGAGGTGAGGAGTGGTGAGGAGGTGAGGTGAGGTGAGGAGGTGGTGAGGTGAGGAGTGGTGTGGTGAGGAGGTGAGGTGAGGTGTGGTGAGGTGTGGTGAGGAGTGGTGAGGTGAGGAGGTGGTGGTGTGGTGAGGTGGTGAGGAGGTGGTGGTGAGGTGTAGTGAGGAGTGGTGAGGTGTGGTGGTGTGAGGTGGTGTGAGGTGTGGTGTGGTGGTAGTGGTGGCGGTGGTAGGGGTGGTAACACCACCCCTACCACCAGCTGTAGTAACACCACCAGCTGTAGTAACACACCACCAGCTGTAGTAACACCACCACCACCAGCTGTAGTAACACCACCAGTAGTAACACACCACCAGCTGTAGTAACACACCACCAGCTGTAGTAACACACCACCAGCTGTAGTAACACACCACCACCAGCTGTAGTAACACCACCACCAGCTGTAGTAACACCACCACCAGCTGTAGTAACACCACCAGCTGTAGTAACACACCACCAGCTGTAGTAACACACCACCACCAGCTGTAGTAACACCACCACCAGCTGTAGTAACACACCACCAGCTGTAGTAACACACCACCAGCTGTAGTAACACACCACCAGCTGTAGTAACACACCACCACCAGCTGTAGTAACACCACCACCAGCTGTAGTAACACCACCACCAGCTGTAGTAACACCACCAGCTGTAGTAACACACCACCAGCTGTAGTAACACACCACCACCAGCTGTAGTAACACCACCACCAGCTGTAGTAACACACCACCAGCTGTAGTAACACACCACCACCAGCTGTAGTAACACCACCACCAGCTGTAATAACACCACCACCACCACCAGTAGTACCACCACCACCCGCTGTAATAACACCACCAGTAGTAACACACCACCAGCTGTAGTAACACACCACCACCAGCTGTAGTAACACCACCACCAGCTGTAGTAACACCACCACCACCAGCTGTAGTAACACCACCACCAGCTGTAGTAACACCACCAGCTGTAGTAACACACCACCAGCTGTAGTAACACACCACCACCAGCTGTAGTAACACCACCACCAGCTGTAGTAACACACCACCAGCTGTAGTAACACACCACCACCAGCTGTAGTAACACCACCACCAGCTGTAATAACACCACCACCACCACCAGTAGTACCACCACCACCCGCTGTAATAACACCACCAGTAGTAACACACCACCAGCTGTAGTAACACACCACCACCAGCTGTAGTAACACCACCACCAGCTGTAGTAACACCACCACCACCACCAGTAGTACCACCACCACCAGCTGTAATAACACCACCAGTAGTAACACACCACCAGCTGTAGTAACACACCACCAGCTGTAGTAACACCACCAGCTGTAGTAACACCACCAGCTGTAGTAACACCACCAACAGCTGCAGCAATGGCAGTGGCTGTGAGGACAACCATGGGTGGAACAGTCACCGGTGGAACAGTCACCAGTGGAACAGTCACCAGTGGAACAGTCACCAGTGGAACAGTCGTGGGTGGAACAGTCACCAGTGGAACAGTCACGTGTGGAACAGTCACCGGTGGAACAGTCGTGGGTGGAACAGTCACCAGTGGAACAGTCACCAGTGGAACAGTCACCAGTGGAACAGTCACCAGTGGAACAGTCGTGGGTGGAACAGTCACCAGTGGAACAGTCGTGGGTGGAACAGTCGTGGGTGGAACAATCACCGGTGGAACAGTCACCAGTGGAACAGTCACCAGTGGAACAGTCACCAGTGGAACAGTCACCAGTGGAACAGTCACCAGTGGAACAGTCATGGGTGGAACAGTCACGTGTGGAACAGTCACCGGTGGAACAGTCACGGGTGGAACAGTCACCGGTGGAACAGTCGTGGGTGGAACAGTCACCAGTGGAACAGTCACCGGTGGAACAGTCACCAGTGGAACAGTCACCGGTGGAACAGTCACCGGTGGAACAGTCACCGGTGGAACAGTCGTGGTTGGAACAGTCACCAGTGGAACAGTCACCGGTGGAACAGTCACCAGTGGAACAGTCACCAGTGGAACAGTCACCAGTGGAACAGTCACCGGTGGAACAGTCACCGGTGGAACAGTCACCAGTGGAACAGTCACCGGTGGAACAGTCACCGGTGGAACAGTCACCGGTGGAACAGTCACCAGTGGAACAGTCACCAGTGGAACAGTCACCAGTGGAACAGTCGTGGGTGGAACAGTCACCAGTGGAACAGTCACCGGTGGAACAGTCGTGGGTGGAACAGTCACCAGTGGAACAGTCACCAGTGGAACAGTCACCAGTGGAACAGTCGTGGGTGGAACAGTCACCAGTGGAACAGTCACCAGTGGAACAGTCACCAGTGGAACAGTCACCAGTGGAACAGTCACCAGTGGAACAGTCACTGGTGGAACAGTCACGGGTGGAACAGTCGTGGGTGGAACAGTCACCAGTGGAACAGTCACCGGTGGAACAGTCACCAGTGGAACAGTCACTGGTGGAACAGTCACGGGTGGAACAGTCGTGGGTGGAACAGTCACCAGTGGAACAGTCACCAGTGAAACAGTCACCGGTGGAACAGTCGTGGGTGGAACAGTCACCGGTGGAACAGTCGTGGGTGGAACAGTCACCAGTGGAACAGTCACCAGTGGAACAGTCACGGGTGGAACAGTCACCAGTGGAACAGTCACCAGTGGAACAGTCGTGGGTGGAACAGTCACCAGTGGAACAGTCACCAGTGGAACAGTCACGGGTGGAACAGTCACCAGTGGAACAGTCACCAGTGGAACAGTCACCAGTGGAACAGTCGTGGGTGGAACAGTCACCAGTGGAACAGTCACCAGTGGAACAGTCACGGGTGGAACAGTCACCAGTGAAACAGTCACCGGTGGAACAGTCACCAGTGGAACAGTCGTGGGTGAAACAGTCGTGGGTGGAACAGTCACCAGTGGAACAGTCACCAGTGGAACAGTCACCAGTGGAACAGTCACCGGTGGAACAGTCGTGGGTGGTGACGATACAGCCAGACCGTCTGGTTCCCGCGTCCTTCATGGAGACTTCGCTCCGTCTCTATCGGCATCATCGCTACAATCATCATCGCTACAATCATCATCGCTACAATCATCATCGCTACAATCATCATCGCTACAAGTGTCATCGCTGCAATCATCATTGCTACAATCATCATCATCGCTACAATCGTCATCGCTACAATCATCATCGCTACAATCATCATCGCTACAATCGTCATCGCTACAATCGTCATCGCTACAATCATCGCTACAATCATCATCGCTACAATCATCATCGCTATCATCATCATCATCACCATCACCACCACCACCACTATCATCACCACCACCACCACTATCATCATCACCACCACTATCATCATCATCACCACCACCACCACCACTATCATCACCACCACCACCATCATCATCGCCACCACCACCACCACTATCATCATCATCATCATCACCACCACTATCATCATCATCATCATCACCGCCACCACCACTATCATCATCATCACCACCACCACCATCACCGCCATTGTCGTCACCGTTGCCATGGCTGCTGCTGCTGCTTCTCTGGCTGCCCGTGGTGGCCGGCGGAGGCGGCGGAGGCGGTGGTGGAGGCGGCGGAGGCGGTGGAGGCGGTGGTGGAGGCGGTGGAGGAGGTGGAGGCAGTGGAGGCGGTGGTCTGGTGGAGGGGATCTACTGCGGCAGCGTCAGCTGCTACGAACTCCTAGGGGTGGAACGCACGGCCACACGGGCTGAGATCGCGCGGTGAGTCTGTGTGTGTGTCACTGTGTGTGTGTCACTGTGTGTGTCACTGTGTGTGTCACTGTGTGTGTGTCACTGTGTGTGTGTCACTGTGTGTGTCACTGTGTGTGTCACTGTGTGTGTCACTGTGTGTGTGTCACTGTGTGTGTCACTGTGTGTGTCACTGTGTGTGTGTGTCACTGTGTGTGTCACTGTGTGTGTGTGTCACTGTGTGTGTGTCACTGTGTGTGTGTCACTGTGTGTGTCACTGTGTGTGTCACTGTGTGTGTGTCACTGTGTGTGTCACTGTGTGTGTCTGTGTGTGTGTGTCACTGTGTGTGTGTCACTGTGTGTGTACACTGTGTGTGTCACTGTGTGTGTCACTGTGTGTGTGTGTCACTGTGTGTGTGTCACTGTGTGTGTGTCACTGTGTGTGTGTCACTGTGTGTGTGTCACTGTTTGTGTGTCACTGTGTGTGTGTGTCACTGTGTGTGTGTCACTATGTGTGTGTGTGGCGGTGAGGTGTGGGAAGCTGTAAGTCCCAGGCTACTTTGGGCTCGCCTTCCCATCAACCGGAGGCGAGGAATGGTGGTCGTGGTTACTTATGCCCCCACCGAAGATGAACATCCGTGGAGGGATGCAGGCAAAGCCGATGAGTCAGATGCCTTCTATGACCTCCTGTCACAGGTGCTGGCTAAAGTGGCCCCTCGGGATAGAGTCATCATGTTGGGTGACTTCAATGCCCGAGCTGGTCATGATGCTGGCACCTGGTCTGGAGTGATTGGAGGGCATGGGCCAGATCAGCTCAATAACAACGGTAGGAGGCTGCTAGATTGTTGTGCAGCCCATGGGCTTGTAATTACCAACACGCTGTTCCGGCATCGGCGCATCCACACAACATCATGGATGCATGCCGGGTCCAAGCAAGAACATCTGCTGGACTACATAGTGACGGACCAGTGGATGCGAGCCCATGTCCTTGACACCAGGACCTACCGTGGAGCTGATCTGCCCTCTGACCATCGACTAGTCATCTGTAAGATGCGCCTGCCATTCTTCCACTCCGGTGGTGGGTGTACACCCAGGACCCCATTCCAACCTAAAGTGGCCTGGTCTCAGTTATCTGATGAAAGTTGCAAGCGAGAATTTCATCATCGCTTGCGGCTGGGATTGGCATCGTCCCCGACTCCTCCTGATGTCGAGGGTAAATGGGCGAGGTTTAGGACTGTGACTCATGCAGCTGCAATGGCTGCTCTGGGTACGCGGTCCAGACCTCCCCAGACACCCTGGATGACAGAGGAGTTGTTCAGGATGGTTGAGAAAAAGCGACAGGCCCACTGTCATCGGCTACAGAATCCCACGTCAGAGAATGAGGAGGCTTACCGCAGCCTTCGCTCGGAGGTTTGGAGAGCCGTGAGGCGCTGCAAGGATGGGTGGTGGTCGCGGGGTGCTGAGGAGATGGAGTCTGCCTCAGTGGCCCGTGATCACAAATCTCTATTTAATTCCATCAAAAAAGTAACCTGCAGCGCCACACCTATTACCATCATTAGGGGAAAAAACGGTGATCCAATCTCCGACCCCCAGGAACAGGTTTGCAGATTTGCTGAGCACTTCTGTGAGGTCCTGGGGGAGGGAAAATCCCTCAGCCAGGAAAACATCGTGGCACAAAGTGAGGATGACCCTGCTGAGGCTGCGGTGCCTCAAATATTGGAAGAAGTCACCCCCTGTGAGTGGCTGGCTGAGGTGCCATCTGCTGAGGAAGTACTGAAGGCGATCCTGAGTCTGAGACCAGGAAAGGCAGCGGGCAGAGATGATCTCCCAAGCGAAATGCTGAGGGAGGGTGGCGTTTGTGCACAGACTGCCCTATATGACATCATAACAACAGTCTGAACCACTGGACGGGTTCCGCAGGATTGGAAGGATGCCCTGGTGGTCCCCCTTTTTAAGAAGGGGGACTGCACAGACTGTAACAACTACAGGGGCATCTCACTCCTCAGTGTGCCGGGATAGGTCCTGGCAAGGATTATTCAGCATCGCCTTGCCAGGCACGCTGAGGAGAGGCTTGCGGAGCCCCAATGCGGTTTCAGGATAGGGCGGTCCTGCACGGATGCCATATTTTCTGTCCGTCTGCTACAGCAGAGGTGTAGGGAATTCCAACAAGACCTACATCTCTGCTTTATTGACCTGGTCAAGGCCTATGATACTATCAGTAGGCCTGGGCTCTGGGTCGTTCTTCGTGCTTTTGGAGTCCCTGACCCCCTGCTCACGATCATTAAGGACCTTCATGATGGTGAGCGGGCCCGGGTAAAACTACGTGGCCGGGAGTCAGAGCCATTCCCTGTACACCTTGGGGTGCGACAGGGATGTCCTCTGGCTCCCACATTATTTAACATCTATTTTGACCACGTAGTTCGTGAAGCCTTCAATAGCTGTACCGGGGGAATCTCCATATGGTACAGATATAATGGGAGGCTAATCGATGCCCGGGTGCGGTCAAGGGATGGCTCCCTATTGCTCAACCACGTTATGTATGCTGATGATTTGGTAATAGCTGCTCAGTCAGAGGAGGAGTTGGAGACGCTGCTGCTGAGACTGGAGCGTGCCACTAAGAGGTGGGGCCTTACCATCAGCCCCACCAAAACTAAGCACCTGCCTGGGTATTTTGTACCATCGGACACTCCACCCCCACAACTCCCAATCGGTGATGGGGCAGTTGTGGAGAGAGTGGAGAGTTTCCCATACCTGGGCAGTGTGCTTATGACTGGCTCCAGTTTAACAGCAGAGGTCTCACTCCGAATCAGTCGAGCGGCAATATCTTTTCATCGGTTGCGTAACGCTGTGTGGAAGCTACCTGGTCTGTCACTCCGCACTAAGCTTCAGGTCTTCTCGGCCACGGTCATTCCCTCCCTTCTCTATGCTTGCGAAACGTGGACCCCCCTAATGGAACATCTTCGCCGGTTAGAAACATTTAGGCTGGCCTGCCTACGATCCATCCTGGGTTTAACCAGACTGGATTGTGTGAGGAGCTCACAAATCCTTGAAAGATCTGGGCAGGGTCCCATCGGTGAGCTCCTCCGGCAGGCAAGGCTGCGATGGCTGGGTCATGTAGCCCGCATGCCCAGCCACCGCATGCCGAAACAGCTTTTGTTTGGCCGGATTGAGGGGGCTAAGCGGGCGCGGCACGGGCTAGAGAAGAGATGGAGTGATGTGGTACAGGAGGACGTGGAGCTGAGTGGACTTGCCGATGACTGGTACCAGCGGTGTCAAGATCGGCCTCTGTGGAGGAGGCTCGTGAAGGATGCTACTGGGCAGTTGGAGGCAGTCGCCCTCCAACAACAACGGAGGGCGGAGGAGCGACGCTCACAACAGCGAGCGGAGCGCCGGGTGGCTAAAGCACAGCAGGTTGGCACAGTAGGGGGCACAGGTGGTGCATCGGCCAGTCATCTCAGTCAGTCGACCCGTGGCACCTGGGTCTGCCCCGTGACCTCCTGCCAGCGGGCGTTCGACACTTCACGTGGCCTCAGGGTGCACATAGCCTGGCACAAGCGTCGTGGTGACGTCACCGCCACTTAGTGGCGAATGGCGGTTGTTGTTGTTGTTGTGTGTGTCACTGTGTGTGTGTCACTGTGTGTGTGTCACTGTGTGTGTGTGTCACTGTGTGTGTGTGTCACTATGTGTGTGTGTGTATGGCGGTGAGGTGTGGGAAGCTGTAAGTCCCAGGCTACTTTGGGCTCGCCTTCCCATCAACCGGAGGCGAGGAATGGTGGTCGTGGTTACTTATGCCCCCACCGAAGATGAACATCCGTGGAGGGATGCAGGCAAAGCCGATGAGTCAGATGCCTTCTATGACCTCCTGTCACAGGTGCTGGCTAAAGTGGCCCCTCGGGATAGAGTCATCATGTTGGGTGACTTCAATGCCCAAGCTGGTCATGATACTGGCACCTGGTCTGGAGTGATTGGAGGGCATGGGCCAGATCAGCTCAATAACAACGGTAGGAGGCTGCTAGATTTTTGTGTAGCCCATGGGCTTGTAATTACCAACACGCTGTTCCGGCATCGGCGCATCCACACAACATCATGGATGCATGCCGGGTCCAAGCAAGAACATCTGCTGGACTACATAGTGATGGACCAGCGGATGCAAGCCCATGTCCTTGACACCAGGACCTACCGTGGAGCTGATCTGCCCTCTGACTATCGACTAGTCATCTGTAAGATGCGCCTGCCATTCTTCCATTCCGGTGGTGGGTGTACACCCAGGACCCCATTGCGACCTAAAGTGGTCTGGTCTCAGTTATCTGATGAAAGTTGCAAGCGAGAATTTCATCATCACTTGCGGCTGGGATTGGCATCGTCCCCAACTCCTCCTGATGTCGAGGGTAAATGGGCGAGGTTTAGGACTGTGACTCATGCAGCTGCAATGGCTGCTTTGGGTACGCGGTCTAGACCTCCCCAGAGACCCTGGCTGACAGAGGAGGTGTTCAGGATGGTTGAGAAAAAGCGACAGGCCCACTGCCATCGGCTACAGAATCCCATGTCAGAGAATGAGGAGGCTTACCGCAGCCTTCGCTCGGAGGTTCGGAGAGCCGTGAGGCGCTGCAAGGATGGATGGTGGTCGCGGGTTGCTGAAGAGATGGAGTCTGCCTCAGTGGCCCGCGATCACAAATCTCTATTTAACTCCATCAAAAAAGTAACCTGCAGCGCCACACCTATTACCATCATTAGGGGAAAAAACGGTGATCCAATCTTCGACCCCCAGGAACAGGTTTGCAGATTTGCTGAGCATTTCTGTGAGGTCCTGGGGGAGGGAAAATCCCTCAGCCAGGAAAACATCGTGGCACAAAGTGAGGATGACCCTGCTGAGGCTGCGGTGCCTCAAATATTGGAAGAAGTCACCCCCTGTGAGTGGCTGGCTGAGGTGCCATCTGTTGAGGAAGTACTGAAGGCGATCCGGAGTCTGAGACCAGGAAAGGCAGCGGGCAGAGATGATCTCCCAAGCGAAATGCTGAGGGAGGGTGGCGTTTGTGCACAGACTGCCCTATATGACATCATAACAACAGTCTGGACCACTGGACGGGTTCCGCAGGATTGGAAGGATGCCCTGGTGGTCCCCCTCTTTAAGAAGGGGGACTGCACAGACTGTAACAACTACAGGGGCATCTCACTCCTCAGTGTGCCGGGAAAGGTCCTGGCAAGGATTATTCAGCATCGCCTTGCCAGGCACGCTGAGGAGAGGCTTGCAGAGCCCCAATTCGGTTTCAGGATAGGGCGGTCCTGCACAGATGCCATATTTTCTGTCCGTCTGCTACAGCAGAGGTGTAGGGAATTCCAACAAGACCTACATCTCTGCTTTATTGACCTGGTCAAGGCCTATGATACCATCAGTAGGCCTGGGCTCTGGGTTGTTCTTCGTGCTTTTGGAGTACCTGACCCTCTGCTCACGATCATTAAGGACCTTCATGATGGTGAGCGGGCCTGGGTAAAACTACGTGGCCGGGAGTCAGAGCCATTCCCTGTACACCTTGGGGTGCGACAGGGATGTCCTCTGGCTCCCACATTATTTAACATCTATTTTGACCTCGTAGTTCGTGAAGCCTTCAATAGCTGTACCGGGGGAATCTCCATATGGTACAGATATAATGGGAGGCTGATCGATGCCCGCATGCGATGAAGGGATGGCTCCCTGTTGGTCAACCCCGTTATGCATGCCGACGATCTGGTGATTGGTGATTGCCGATCTGGTGATTGCGGCTCTACCTGGCCGTCTCTCTCCTCCCTGTGTCTCTCACCGTGTCTCTCTCCCCCCGTGTCTCTCTCCCCCCGTGTCTCTCACCGTGTCTCTCCCCATCTCTCACCGTGTCTCTCACCGTGTCTCTCCCCATCTCTCACCGTGTCTCTCCCCGTGTCTCTCACCGTGTCTCTCCCCATCTATCACCGTGTCTCTCCCTGTTTCTCTCTCACCGTGTCTCTCACTGTGTCTCTCCCCATCTATCACCGTGTCTCTCCCTGTTTCTCTCTCACCGTGTCTCTCCCTGTTTCTCTCTCACCGTGTCTCTCCCCATCTATCACCGTGTCTCTCCCTGTTTCTCTCTCACCGTGTCTCTCACTGTGTCTCTCCCCATCTATCACCGTGTCTCTCCCTGTTTCTCTCTCACCGTGTCTCTCCCAGTGTCTCTCCCCATGTCTCTCTCCCTGTCTCCCCATCTCTCACCGTGTCTCTCTCTCACTGTGTCTCTCTTCCTGTCTCTCTCCATCTCTCTCTCACTGTGTCTCTCCCCGTGTCTCTCCCCATCTCTCCCCCCATCTCTCCCCGTGTCTCTCCCCATCTCTCACCGCGTCTCTCCCCATCTCTCACCGTGTCTCTCACCGTGTCTCTCCCCGTGTCTCTCCCCATCTCTCCCCCCATCTCTCCCCGTGTCTCTCCCCATCTCTCCCCGTGTCTCTCTCTCACCGTGTCTCTCTCCATCTCTCCCCGTGTCTCTCCCCATCTCTCCCCGTGTCTCTCACCATCTCTCACCGTGTCTCTCCCCGTGTCTCTCCCCCTGTCTCTCACCATGTCTCTCACCGTGTCTCTCCCCGTGTCTCTCCCCGTGTCTCTCCCCATCTCTCCCCATCTCTCACCGTGTCTCTCACTGTGTCTCTCTCTCACTGTCTCTCTCTCACCGTGTCTCTCTCCCTGTCTCTCTCTCACCGTGTCTCTCACCATCTCTCACCGTGTCTCTCTCTCACCGTGTCTCTCCCCATCTCTCACCGTGTCTCTCTCCGTGTCTCTCACCGTGTCTCTCACCGTGTCTCTCACCCCACGTCTCTCACACCACGTCTCTCACCCCATGTCTCTCACCCTGTCTCTCCCCATCTATCCCCACGTCTCTCCCCATCTATCACCGTGTCTCTCCCCATCTATCACCGTGTCTCTCCCCATCTCTCCCCCCATCTCCGTGTCTCTCACCGTGTCTCTCTCTCACTGTGTCTCTCTCCGTGTCTCTCACCGTGTCTCTCTCACTGTGTCTCTCTTACCGTGTCTCTCCCCATCTATCACCGTGTCTCTCCCTGTTTCTCTCTCACCGTGTCTCTCCCTGTTTCTCTCTCACCGTGTCTCTCCCCATCTATCACCGTGTCTCTCCCTGTTTCTCTCTCACCGTGTCTCTCACTGTGTCTCTCCCCATCTATCACCGTGTCTCTCCCTGTTTCTCTCTCACCGTGTCTCTCCCAGTGTCTCTCCCCGTGTCTCTCTCCCTGTCTCCCCATCTCTCACCGTGTCTCTCTCTCACTGTGTCTCTCTTCCTGTCTCTCTCCATCTCTCTCTCACTGTGTCTCTCCCCATCTCTCCCCCCATCTCTCCCCGTGTCTCTCCCCATCTCTCACCGCGTCTCTCCCCATCTCTCACCGTGTCTCTCACCGTGTCTCTCCCCGTGTCTCTCCCCATCTCTCCCCCCATCTCTCCCCGTGTCTCTCCCCATCTCTCCCCGTGTCTCTCTCTCACCGTGTCTCTCTCCATCTCTCCCCGTGTCTCTCCCCATCTCTCCCCGTGTCTCTCTCCATCTCTCCCCGTGTCTCTCCCCATCTCTCCCCGTGTCTCTCACCATCTCTCACCGTGTCTCTCACCGTGTCTCTCCCCGTGTCTCTCACCGTGTCTCTCCCCATCTCTCCCCGTGTCTCTCACCGTGTCTCTCCCCGTGTCTCTCCCCATCTCTCCCCGTGTCTCTCACCGTCTCTCCCCGTGTCTCTCCCCATCTCTCTCTCACCGTGTCTCTCCCCGTGTCTCTCCCCATCTCTCCCCATCTCTCCCCGTGTCTCTCCCCATCTCTCACCGTGTCTCTCCCCGTGTCTCTCACCGTGTCTCTCCCCATCTCTCCCCGTGTCTCTCCCCATCTCTCCCCATCTCTCACCGTGTCTCTCCCCGTGTCTCTCACCGTGTCTCTCCCCATCTCTCCCCGTGTCTCTCACCGTGTCTCTCTCTCACCGTGTCTCTCTCCATCTCTCACTGTGTCTCTCACCGTGTCTCTCTCCATCTCTCCCCGTGTCTCTCCCCATCTCTCCCTCCATCTCTCCCCGTGTCTCTCCCCATCTCTCCCCATCTCTCCCCCCATCTCTCCCCATCTCTCACCGTGTCTCTCTCTCACCGTGTCTCTCCCCATCTCTCCCCGTGTCTCTCCCCATCTCTCCCCGTGTCTCTCACCATCTCTCTCTCCCCATCTCTCCCCATCTCTCTCCCCATCTCTCACCGTGTCTCTCCCCATCTCTCCCCGTGTCTCTCCCCATCTCTCCCCGTGTCTCTCCCCATCTCTCCCCATCTCTCCCCCCATCTCTCCCCATCTCTCACCGTGTCTCTCCCCATCTCTCCCCGTGTCTCTCCCCATCTCTCCCCGTGTCTCTCCCCATCTCTCACCGTGTCTCTCCCCATCTCTCCCCGTGTCTCTCCCCATCTCTCACCGTGTCTCCCCCCATCTCTCCCCATCTCTCCCCGTGTCTCTCCCCATCTCTCACCGTGTCTCCCCCCATCTCTCCCCATCTCTCCCCGTGTCTCTCCCCATCTCTCTCCCCCCATCTCTCCCCGTGTCTCTCCCCATCCCCCTCTCTCCCCCTCTCCCCACCCACCACCCCACCCACCCACCACCTCCACCCACCTCCACCCACCTCCCAGCGCCTACCGCCGCCTGGCCCGCCGCGACCACCCGGACCGCTCCGGCTCGTCGGGCGGCTCTGAGCGCTTCGTGACGCTGGCCACGGCCTACGAGACCCTCCGGGACGCGGCCGTGCGGGCCGCCTACGACGCCACGCTGGACGGCCCCGCCGGGCGGCCGCTCCGACACCTCTACGACTACGACTACGCCAACACCAACACCTACACCTACAACTACACCTACACCTACAACTACTACTACACCTACACCTACAACTACGCTCGCTCGCTGCTGCTGCTGCGGCGGGCGCCGGTGGACGCCCGTGCCGTTCTCGCCGGGGCGGTGATCGTGGTGTCGGTTATACAGGTTGGTGGGGGGGGGGGGGGGGGGGGGGGGGGGGGGGGGGTGGGGGGGGGGGGGGTGTGGGTGGGGGGTGGTGTGTGGGTTTGTGGGTGGGTGGGTGGGTGGGTTTGTGGGGGTGTGGTGTGTGGTGTATGTGGTTGGGTGGGTGTGTGGGTAGGTGGGTTTGTGGGTGGGTGGGTGGGTGTGTGGGTGTGGTGGTGTGGGTTTGTGGGTGGGTGTGTGGGTAGGTGGGTTTGTGGGTGTGTGGGTGGGTGTGTGTGGTGTGGGTGGGTGTGTGTGGTGTGGGTGTGGGTGGGTGTGGTGGTGTGGGTTTGTGGTGTGTGGGTGTGTGGGTGGGTGTTGTGTGGTGTGTGGGGGTGTGATGGTGTGTGGGTGTGGTGGTGTGGGTGTGTGGGTGGGTGTGTGTGGTGTGGGTGTGTGTGGTTGGGTGGGTGGGTGGGTTTGTGGGTGGGTGGGGGTGTGGTGTGTGGTGGTGAGTGTGGGTTTGTGGGTGGGTGTGTGTGTGGTGTGTGGGGGTTGGGTGTGGTGTGAGTGTGGGTGGGTGTGGTGTGTGTGTGTGTGGGTGTGTGTGGTGTGGTGGGTTTGTGGGTGTGTGGGTAGGTGGATTTGTGGGTAGGTGGGTTTGTGGGTGGGTGGGCGTGTGTGGGGGTTGGGTGTGGTGTGAGTGTGGGTGGGTGTGGGTTTGTGGGTGGGTGGGTGTGTGGGTAGGTGGATTTGTGGGTAGGTGGGTGTGTGGGTAGGTGGGTTTGTGTGTGTGTTTGTGGTGTGTGGGTGTGTGGGTGGGTGTGTGTGGTGTGGGTGTGTGTAGTTGGGTGTGTGGGTGTGGTGGTGTGGGTTTGTGGTGTGTGGGTGTGTGGGTGGTGGGTGTGGGTTTGTGGGTGTGTGGGTAGGTGGGTTTGTGGGTGTGTGTGGTTGGGTGTGTGGGTGTGATGGTGTGGGTTTGTGGTGGTGTGGGTTTGTGGTGTGTGGGTGTGGGTGGTGTGTGTGGGGGGGGGGTGAGTGGTTGGGTGTGTGGGTGTGGTGGTGTGGGTTTGTGGTGGGTGGGTGTGTGGGTAGGTGGGTTTGTGGGTGTGTGGGTGGGTGTGTGTGGTGTGGGTGTATGGGTGGGTTTGTGTGTGTGTTTTTGGTGTGTGGGTGTGTGGGTGGGTGTGTGTGGTGTGGGTGTGGGTGTGTGTGGTTGGGTGTGTGGGTGTGGTGGTGTGGGTGTGTGTGGTTGGGTGTGTGGGTAGGTGGGTGGGTGGGTGTAGGTGCGTGTGTGGGGGGGTGTGTGTGTGGTGGTGTGTGGGGGTGAGTGTGTGGTGGGTGGGTGTGTGGGTGTTTGTGTGTGTGTGTTTGTTTGTGTGTGTGGATGTGTGTGTGTGTTTGTGTGTGTTTGTACATGTGAGTGTGTACGTATGTGTGTTTGTGTGTGTATGAGTGTGTGGGTGGGTGAGTCTGTGTGTATGTATGAGTCTGTGTGTGAGTGTATGAGTGTGTGTGTGAGTCTGTGTGTGTGTGTATGAGTTTGTGTGTTTGTTTGTGTGTGTGTGTTTGTGTGTGTGTGTGTGTTTGTGTGTGTGTGTTTGTGTGTGTGTTTGTGTGTGTGTGTTTGTGTGTGTGTGTTTGTGTGTGTGTTTGTGTGTGTTTGTGTTTGTGTGTGTGTTTGTGTGTGTGTTTGTGTGTTTGTGTGTGTGTGTGTTTGTGTGTGTGTGTTTGTGTGTGTGTGTGTGTGTGTTTGTGTGTGTGTGTGTTTGTGTGTGTCTATGTATGGCTACCTGTCTCTCTGTGTGTGTGTGTCTCTCTGTGTGTGTGTGTGTCTATCTATGTGTCTCTGTGTGTGTGTGTCTCTCTCTGTGTGTGTGTCTATGTGTGTGTATATCTATGTATATCTACCTGTGTCTATCTATGTGTGTGTGTGTCTATCTATGTCTCTCTGTGTGTGTGTGTGTGTGTCTCTCTGTGTGTGTGTGTGTGTCTATCTATGTGTCTGTGTGTGTGTCTATCTATGTGTGTGTGTGTCTATCTATGTGTCTCTGTGTGTGTGTGTGTCTACCTGTGTGTGTGTGTCTATCTATGTGTGTGTGTGTCTATCTATGTGTCTCTGTGTGTGTGTGTGTCTATCTATGTGTGTGTGTGTGTCTATCTATGTGTCTCTGTGTGTGTGTGTCTCTCTCTGTGTGTGTGTGTCTATGTGTGTGTATATCTATGTATGTCTACCTGTGTCTATCTATGTGTGTGTGTGTCTATCTATGTGTCTCTCTGTGTGTGTGTGTCTCTCTGTGTGTGTGTATGTCTACCTGTGTCTCTCTCTGTGTGTGTGTCTCTCTCTGTGTGTGTGTCTATGTGTGTGTATATCTATGTATATCTACCTGTGTCTATCTATGTGTGTGTGTGTCTATCTATGTCTCTGTGTGTGTGTGTGTGTATGTATGTCTACCTGTCTCTCTCTGTGTGTGTGTGTCTATCTATGTGTCTCTGTGTGTGTGTGTGTGTCTACCTGTGTGTGTGTGTCTATCTATGTCTCTCTCTGTGTGTGTGTGTATGTATGTCTACCTGTCTCTCTCTGTGTGTGTGTGTCTATCTATGTGTCTCTGTGTGTGTGTGTGTGTCTACCTGTGTGTGTGTGTCTATCTATGTGTCTCTGTGTGTGTGTGTGTCTCTGTGTGTGTGTGTCTCTCTGTGTGTGTGTGTCTATCTATGTGTCTCTCTCTGTGTGTGTGTGTCTATCTATGTGTGTGTGTGTCTATCTATGTGTCTCTGTGTGTGTGTGTGTCTCTGTGTGTGTGTGTCTCTCTGTGTGTGTGTGTGTCTATCTATGTGTCTCTGTGTGTGTGTATCTACCTGTGTGTGTGTGTCTATCTATGTGTGTGTGTGTCTATCTATGTGTCTGTGTGTGTGTGTGTCTCTCTCTGTGTGTGTGTGTCTCTGTGTGTGTGTGTCTATCTATGTGTCTCTGTGTGTGTGTGTGTCTCTCTATGTGTGTGTATGTCTACCTG